GACTCCTTCGGTTGAACGTTGACGGCCAAGACGTCAAACACGACGGATACGAAGGCGAGAATGGTGGCTGCCATTCTGACGATGGCTGGTGGAAAGACATGGAGACGTCTGTTATGGACGAGGATGATGTTGAGGATGAGGGCGAAGGGGTTGGGGATGATGGCACAGACGATGCGACGATTCGAGACAGAGCGCGCGTCGGCCAAATTCGATGATCGAAGACGTTGTCCCTGAGGAAATGTCCATTTTCTCCACTATTGAATTCCCGGACGCGAAATAATTAGCAGAATGCCCCGCATCACACAGTTTTATTAGGCGTACCCGTTCTAGTTCGGCCCGGTGTTCGCGATGTCGTTCCGTGAACACAAACGATTGAACGCGTGACATAGGAACGACGAGGAAAGAAAGGAGACCAGGAGTGCGGCGCTATCTAAGGAATGATCTGTGTGCGATTTGAAGCTAGCGACCAATCATTTTATTTCATGCCGAGTCGAACGTCGCGCGTATTTGAATTCATGAGAATTGATAAATGAGGATGGCGAATAGAAATGACGGCGGCGTTATGGCGTAGAGGGATGTCTGGTTGCTTGCGCAGGTCGGGGCGGTCGAACGAATGAAAACTCCGCTCGCCACCCGTCGACATGAAATGAACATACAACTCACATCTCAATACATGTAATCCAGTGATAACAGCGCCTTATGCCAGTAATTATTTAGGTGGTGTGATCCGTTGAGAAATCGCAGGTTCGGCGGCATTGTTGAGAGTCCATGAGGATCGACGGCAAGTCCGGACGGATGGCATACTCGTGAAATGACCGTGCGAATAGAATGCCATAGATTCGTTCGAAACCAAGATATAGACAGATTCGACGGTGAAATACGAAATCAAAAGAGAAATTTTAGACAGTACGACTCGGGTTTCGATTGGATGGAGAACGGCAGACACTTCGTTGAGCTTGACCTCGACCATAACCACGCGAAATCTCGACGAATATCCTTGACAAAATGGAAGATAAAGATAGCACCGAGGGTGTCCGAGTTCTCAGTCTTGGTACGTATAGACACGCCCGCTTCACTGCTACGCTAATCCAGTTGTCCTTTGGTTTCGAGTAGATGGTGGCGGGCCGGGCTGCTTCTCTCAACTCGTCATTCTAGACGAGATTATGGCACGAATCGCGCACGACAAACAATTGGACAAGAAACAAATGCGTCTCGCCGACTATTTCGACTTGATGGGTGGCGTCGGGTTTGGCGCGTATGTATTGGAATTTCAGTATACAAATTTAAACGCTGACAAGAGTATCTTTGGATAGATACATCGGGTTCATGCTTGGGGCTCTTCGAATGACAGTCAAGGACGCCATGAAAGAGCTTCACTCGCTGGGTTCAAAGCTTATGCTAGGTGATACGGACGTTCAGGTATCACCCACCGAACGAGTGGATACTCTCAAAAGTGGGATTCGACAGATGTTGAGAAATCAAGGTGTATCTGAAGACGTGGACTTGCAAGACCCGCGATTCTCGTCCTCGGGATGCAAAGTGCAAGTACTCGCTCTCGCTCCTTATCAATCCATGTCACTAATAACGTGAACTCAGAGCTCTACTAGCTGTGAGATCGACGGCGGTCAACTCCTACCAGTGGTTCAGGACCTACCCTTCCTCTCGAAGCAACATCGAGTGCTCTGTGGTCGACGCGCTAAGTGCGAGTATGGCACTTCCCACTCTCTTCAGCACCGTCACGGTTGGTCCAGAATATGCTCAGGAAGGGTTCTGCGGAGGGGGACTGGGATTCAACAATCCTACTCGAGAGCTGCTCAAGGAGGCTCAGTTGGTGTATGGCGGTGAAAGGCGATTATCGGTCATCCTTAGTGTCGGGTCCGGACCTCCCAAGGAGTT